TCCAAATCTGAATGGAATGTTGACTTTTATAGTTTTTATTGACTTTTTTAAGTTCAAAAGTTGACTTTAAACTGGTGCCAAACACCAATGGTGATTTTTTTCTTTTTAATTTAAAATTTTTTTTTTGTTTTTTTTTGTTGGGTTAGGGTTTGTTAGTGGTGATTGAGAGATTGAAACTAGACCCTACAACGAGAGGAATCAATGAGAATGTTCATCTTTAAATTGCACAATCGATAATCAGTGGTGATGCCAAGAATTTTTATAGATGAGATCACTCCGCAAGCTTAAGTTCTGTAAATTTTATATAAATTAAAAAAAAAAACTATATAATATTTACTTGGCTTGATTTCCAATTTTCAAAAAAGTTCAATTTTTTTATTTTTCCGTATTTTGTTGTTTTTAGAATTTTTTTCCTTCTTATTTTAGTCTCTCTTTTTTTAAAAAAAAATAAAATAAAATTGAAATGTGCGTAACCTAGATATATCTAAAAATTAAAATATTTATAAAAAAATCTATAAAAAAATTCAATAAATAAAAAATAATATATATATATTAAATTTTTGTATTTTTTGTATTTAGTAAATTTTTAAAATATTTTTTTACAAATATTTTACTTTTAAAATGTATCTAGATTGGGAGAATTTAAAAATTAACAGAATTGCTTAAAATAATTAAAAAAATAAAAAAACTTAAAAGCTCAAAAATTATTTTTAAAACTGTTAAACTGTTAACCAAACAAAGTGATTTAAACTTTCCAAACAATAGGTGTCTAATCACTACAAAAAATTCAGGCTTTTGTGACGGCAAAATGCCGTCGCTAATATTCCTAATATCGTCCCAAAAATTTTTTAGCGACGGCAAATGACTTTTAGCGATGGCAAAGAGGGAGTCACAACAGAGGGCGTTGCAAAAACTTTTTAGCGACGGCATCGTGCCGTCGGTTTTTTTTTGCGACGGCAATTGTTGCTTTTTGCGACGGCATTTTACCGTCGCCTATAATATGTAAAAAAGTGAGACCTTTTGCGACGGCACTGTTTTACCATTGCTAAAAGTCTTATTTGAGATCCCAAGTAATGCTGTCGCGAATTGTGTTTTTTTTAGACGGTGTGGTGCCGTCGCAAAAAAAATAAAATTAAAATTACCTTCTTTTTTTTTGCGACGATGTGGTGCCGAAAAAATAACTGCAATATAATTATTAAAAATATTAAAATTACCTGTATTATATGAAAAATAATTGAAAAATAAACCAATAATTGCATAACAATATAAAAATTCTTAAATAGAAATAACAATTTCTTCATAATAAAAACATTCTTGCATCCATAATTACACATCAACAAAATTACCTCACTACATAGAAATAACAATTTATCCATAATAAAAATATTCTTGCATCCATAATTATATAATAGTTGTTAGTTAAAATGCCTAGTATGATTCACTTTTTTCAATTCCAATGCACTAGGCATATGATTAGGCATTTTGGCTCAACTCATATTCACTAGCTACATGTAGCTAGCCTTCAATGCTAGGCAAAATGTATTCAATCATTAGGATCATTTCCCTCCATCTTTGTTGTTGACATGGCATTCTATAAAATTAATAGTATTTGGATAAATAGCTAAAATAAAGAGCATGGTTGGAGTAAAAACATAAAACAGTTGATAGGCAAAATAAAATATATACTTTATAGTAATATTTAGATAGGTAAAATGCCTATTACCGTTGGAGATGCTCTTACATAATGTTTCATAATACATATATAATATAAAGTTGTTCATAATTTAAAATAACATAAACCAAAATTAAAAGTTTTCCTTATAATTATCCGTGGGTAACAAAAACAAAAGTTAGTCACATTTTTCACAGGCATGCATTGCACAAGAAGCAAACTCCTACTCGGGAAATATTTGAAAACAAAAAATAAAAATAATTACCGACAATATAATTATGTGTTAATATGTTAATTACAAAAAAAATATAAAATTTTAACTACTATACAATTATAAAGATAATTAAGTAAATAGTTTTGCCTAGACCGAAATCTGACTCTAATTCCCATACCGAGAACGCAATTCGAGTCTCGTCTTCTCTCACAAGTCTCTCATGCCTAGGTAGTCGTGTGTGCCAAGTTTCGTGCTAATCCGACGCCGTTTGGTGATTTTGGGGCGTCAACACCTCGAATTTTAAGTTTCTTAAGAAACTAATTTGTCTAGAGTGAAATCCGGCTCTAACTCCCAAACCAGGAATCTGATTCGAGCCCCGTCTTCTCCCACAAGTCTCTTGTGCCTAGGCGGTCGTGTGTGCCAAGTTTCGTGTTACTCCGACGCTGTTTGGTAATTTTGCAGCTAACACCTCGAATTCTAAGTTTCTCAAAAAACTAATTTGTCTACAGTGAAATCTGACTCTAACTCCCAAACCGGGAATCCAATTTGAGTCTCGTCTTCTCCCACAAGTCTCTCGTGCCTAGGCGGTCATGTGTGCCAAGTTTCGTGCTACTCAGACGCCGTTTGGTGATTTTGGGGCATTAACACTTCGAATTCTTAGTTTTTTAAGAAAATAGTTTGTTTAGAGTGAAATCTAACTCTAACTCCCAAACCGGGAACCCGATTCGAGTCCCGTCTTCTCCCACAAGTCTCTCGTGCCTAGGCGGTCGTGTGTGCCAAGTTTCATGTTAATCCAACGCCGTTTGGTGATTTTAGGGCGTCAACATCTTGAATTCTAAGTTTTTTAAAAAACTTGTTTGCCTAAACCGAAATCCAGCTCCAACTCCAAAACCGAGAACCCGATTCGAGTCTCCTCTTCTCCCACAAGTCTCTTGTGCCTAGACGGTCGTGTGTGCCAAGTTTCATTAGTTTGGATCAAAATATTTATTAACTCATTAGTAGCACTGATAAGAAATCATAGAATTTTTTGGTCTCAAGTTATAAGCCAAAACAACAGCAACACTTGTAATATGTAGACAACTTTCAGTATTAAATTGAAAATCATAGAAGTAAACTGCTACAACAAAATATGCAAACAACTTTTAATTTTTAGTGTTCATCCTCACTATCTCCAAAATTCCCCCCAACTGTAATTCTGACATAAATCTAACTTGAACTAGGGAGAGACCTATTGAAGACCAAAAGAGATACAAAAATTCCATGCAGTGCATTAATTTACAGATGACGATGACTATGATGAAGATGAGAACAAGGATACAAAGTTACTAATATGAGATACAGAGATTGCTATGAATATTAAGGAATCAGATGAAAACATATGGAAAGGATTAAGATATCTGCTAAACAAGGACATTCCTGGTTTACCATTGTACTCAATTTTTGACAGACATCACACACATCAAATTAAGTGACTAACAACTTTGGGTCTCAATGGCAGCATTTCTTTTAAGATTTTTGCATCAAACCTCTTGCTTCTAGCTCAGAAACCAACTTATGTTAACCAATATATTAGTCATATAGAATAAATCTTGTAATGAAATTGTTAGTGACTTGCCAAATGCACCAACATAGAAATTGTTAGTCATCCATCCAACCTCATAATAATGGAATGGAGAAAAATAAAGCAAAGCCTCCCATTCTGTATGCCAGTATCTGAAACACTGACTAGATATGCTTTTGCTGTCTCATTAAGCAGCAATTAAGAGAAATAGTAACACGACCTATATCCAGCATGAATACATATGAAAAAATAGTAAATCAAAGACAAGTGAGCTCAACTAACACCTTGCTATGGGAACATGATGGGTATATAGCAGCAAGGGTGAAACCTCCAACAAACAAATACATTGCGTGTGTGTGCGCATGCATATGTGTGTGTGTGTGTGAAAGAGAGAGAGAGAGAGAGAGAGAGATGAATTTGGCAAGCTTACCTCTTCTGAGCTCTTATAACTTCTCTTTCTTCTTTGGAAGTGTTCAAGTCATAGTTGTAAAAGAAAAGGCAATTCAGTCATCATAGAGGATTTTGGTGCATCCACTTTAACTTTTTTTCTCTTTTTTTTTTTGACAGTAAAATACCATTCATTAGAAAAAAAAACATCCACCTTAACTAATTATAAAGACAATACAAGTATACAGCAAGGTATCACTGCATCTAATCACATACAAGCAGAAGGCAAACTTCAAAGTGAAAGAGAACAAGCACTTAATATTTACTTGTTTTGCACATCAGTTTACTCTCAACAATTTGTTTCATCATTCTGCTCCATCAAGGATATGTTACATAGACTCTTCAATATAAATCAAATACTCGTGTCGAACGCCCGGCATTTGGATAAGGGTATGAGATATGTGTTGACACTTATGTATTTGTATTAACACCATTTTATCTCACACTTATATATTTGTGTGTAAATTATAGATTTGGGAAAGAATTAGGAAATAAATAAAAAAGGCGAGAGAAATGAAGAAAAAAAAGTAAATTATTTTGCTTTTACATTTTTCTTTCTTTTTTCAACAGCATGATTGCTGCTAAAAAAAATCCTGAATAAATGAATCTAAAACGAAACCCATACATACCGAAGCAACATAAATTGCAAACAATAGAAGAGAGAACGTTCATAATACTCGTGTCAAACGCCCGGCATTTGGATAAGGGTATGAGATATGTGTTGACACTTATATATTTGTATTAACACCATTTTATCTCACACTTATATATTTGTGTGTAAATTATAGATTTGGGAAAGAATTAGGAAATAAATAAAAAAGGCGAGAGAAATGAAGAAAAAAAAGTAAATTATTTTGCTTTTACATTTTTCTTTCTTTTTTCAACAGCATGATTGCTGCTAAAAAAAATCCTGAATAAATGAATCTAAAACGAAACCCATACATACCGAAGCAACATAAATTGCAAACAATAGAAGAGAGAACGTTCATTTCAGTGCAAATTAGGTGATGCAGACGCCCATTTAAATAGATAGCAAGTAGTAGTACACAGGTGAAAACAAAAATAAGAAAAGATGAGAAATTACCCTGATGGCATTTTGGCTTGTATTTCTTTGCATTCTCAACAGAATCATAAATCAAACCAAAATCAGTAGATTTGCCTCCTCCAAAATGGGTCCGTAACTTAAAAACAAAGATGGCATTTGGGTCTTTCACCTCATACATCCTAGACAATTTTTCCTTCAGCTCCGCCTTCAATTAAAAAAAGAAAAAAGAAAAAAGAAAACCAAAAGGAAATAATGTAGAACAGCCAATCAAAAAATAATATGTAGAACCAAACAAAGTAAATCTACCAGAAATAGAACACAACCTGAAAATGTGCATTTATAGGTAATGGCTATACAATAACACATTAAATTAAATAAATAAACAACACCAGAATAACAATAGTTGATTAACACATTACACTTTCATAACTTAGGTAAAAAAATGACCCCCCAGTAAAACAAACCCATGATTTTGTTTTTCAAGAATAATTAATCAACAATACAAAAGGTTAAACTAGATCACTAATTTGTGAATAAACTACACATATATAGCATTAACAACATTATAGCAAACCAAATAGATAGAAAAACATGTTCTACAAACCATGAGATGTTGGAGAGAAATCAAAAAAGGAGAAAGAACAAAGGTTTATGAAACATTTGGTCCATCAAAGATTTATGAAACATTATGAAACATTTGACCTTGGAAACATTTGGTCTTCTTGGATGTAGAACGTCAATGATCTAAATCAAATCAATTAAAGCAAAATAAAAAAATTTCCCAATTCAAGTAAAGAAAACACTATCAAAATAAAAAATTTATGAGAAGGGTAATTGTCGTGTAAAAATCCATCCCCTCGTATAGAGAATCAATCTCAATTGTAGTTTGAGCAGTCGACGAAAGAGTCCTCTTCGCCTTTTCGCAAGCAGTCCTCAACCCCCTCAGTGCTCTTGGGTTTCCACTAATATCCTTCTTGTGCTTCCTCTTGAACTCCTGAACAAAATGGTTCACCATTCTGTTATCAAAATCCTCACCTCCCAAAGGGGTATCACCAGCAGTGGCTTTAACCTCGAAAATACCCTCTTCAACGGTTAGCAGAGAGACGTCAAATGTCCTATCACCAAGATCAAAGATGAGCACATTCTTCTCACCAGCATTGCCGGCTTTCTTGTCAAGCCCGTATGTGATTGCGGCAGCATTTGGCTCATTGATGATGCGCGTGACGTTGAGACCGGAGATGACACCGGCATCTTTTGTTGCCTGTCTCTGGGAGTCGTTGAAGTAGGCTGGGACTGTGACGACAGCGTTTTTGATTGTGGTGCCGAGGTAAGCCTCTGCAATCTCTTTCATCTTTGTGAGGACCATTGAAGAGATTTCTTCAGCAGAGAATTGCTTCTCTTCGCCCTTGTATTGGACGACAATCATTGGTTTGTCACCAGGACCAGCTATGACTTTGAAAGGTCACAGCTTCATGTCACTCTGCACTGAGGGATCGCTGAATCTTCTTCCAATCAAACACTAGCATCTGAAAACCAACAATTTAAAACCCCATTAATTAGAATATAAAACCACAAAGGGTATGCTGAGGACATTATTAGAAATTAACATATAAAACACAAAGGTGATATGTAGAATTGAAACACATTCATAGGATGCAATAATGTCGATCATTATGTTAAACACACAAAAGACTAAGAAAAATGGATATAATTTGGATACAAGGTGGCTACAATTGTTTTAAACGAATTTGGGACTCATAATATGTGGCTGAAGCCGAATTAGGATTGAAAGATTCCGGCAGATATTAAGATCAAATTGCAAAGAATCTTAATACCCAATTACAGAATGAAATTGGTGACAAATTGTGAAAACTTATTCAAAAAACAGATAAACGAACTTACAAAATCAAATTCCTCAAAATTGCCCAAATAAATGGGCCTTAAAATTAGCTCAGATGCATAATTCATTGTACTTGTATGTTAAGAAGAATATAATTTATTTTTTTTTATTTTTTTTATTGAGTTGAAAAATATTTATAAATAAAAAATCAGCTTCAATTGTGTCATATTTGGAAGAATACTTTACAGGAGATTCAGAGCCATTAGAGAACTTCTCAATTTCAAGCAATCAGTAAACTTTTCTCAAGAAAAACCCGTATATGTTAGATAAAGGTGGCAGTAAATGTTGTGATTGTAAGGTTTTGAAGAAGAATAAAGATATAACAATAGTATTTGCGTGCATAGTTCAAGTAATTCTAGAAGAACTATGGAATTCTAGAACAACTACTGCAAATTCACATGCATTGATATATAGATCAACTCCTACATACGCAAATAAAACAATCTCCACCAAAAATTAAAGAAATATATTCAAGAAACAAAAAAGCCTGATTAGATAGAGAGATTGAAGAGCAGAGGACTAACCGAAGACGGTGTTGATAGGGTTCATGGTGACCTGGTTCTTGGCAGCATCGCCGATCAAACGCTCCGTATCTGTGAAAGCAACATAAGACGGCATCGTTCTGTTGCCCTGATCATTGGCTATGATTTCAACGTGATCGTGTTGCCATACAGCAACACACGAGTAGGTCATTCCGAGATCAATTCCAATCGCCGGTCCTTCACCATTTAGCCATCTTTCTCGCGAACCAAATAGAAAATTCAGAAAACCATAAAGATAAAATCGCACGCAGAGAGAAAGAACTAGTTTAAAGAACTAGTATAATAGCAAACGAGTATTTATTACTATTGTTTTGTATGATGATGATTGGAAGAGAGAGCTAGCGAGGCCAGCTTATAAAGGAAAGCTATATTTCGAGAACGTTCGAGTGGTGGATTCGTAGCCGTCAGATCAAGATGTTAAGATCATACACTGTTCTTGATGATTTGCCGCCTGGCCAAGAACCTCGCTACAGGTGGCGTGAAGACGAAGAAGAAGAGGAGCTAACATGGTTCAGAGATTGAGACTGATTGAGAGAGTTGAAGAGAGACACACCGCACCGTCGTCACTCGCTCACCGCTGTCACACGCTGCTCGATGCCGTTTCACGCTGCTCGCTGCCGTCGATTCAATGCTCGCCGTTGTCTACTGCTGCTCACAGTCAAGATCAAGAGAGAGAGAGACGCAAGAAGAGATAGGGATTTTTGGTTCAAAAGATTAGGGATTTTTGAGATTGGGGATTTTTGGTTGAAGGGGGGAAAAATGAGCACGAAGAGAAAAACAAGCTGAGCTCAAGATTTTGGAGTTTTTTTTTTGTGACGTCAAGTTTCATGCCGTTGCAAAAAACTCACATTATTTGCGACTACAGTTGTTCCTGTCGCAAAAAACGTGCTTTTTTGTGACAGGAAGTGATGCCGTCGCTAAAACTCAATTTATTTGCGACGGCAAATGGTGCCGTCGCAAATACTTCCATGTTATATGCCCCCTTTTCTTGTAGTGAATGGGTGTAGACCACTACTTGATGGGGTCCCTTAATTTTTTTTTAATCAAATTAAACTATATTAAATAAAATATTAATAATATAAATAAAATTTTTAAAGGATTTCTTATTGCATGATGGTCATGGATCCCATCAACCCTAAGGTGGAGTTGGCCCTATCTATAAGAATCTTCATCTAATCTATTACTAGGTTTGTAATGGAAAATAGCATTTGAATGTCACAAACTATGTTAACAACCTTTTTTTATTTTTTAGTGAATTTTTTCAAAAAAATTTTTTGGGTCAATATCTCTTTTACATTTCAAATACTTCTAAAATGATAAATGGAAGTCTAAACATAATGACCAAATGCAAAGTGCAACAGCATTTCCTAGATATGAGGTGAATGAATGAGTTGGATCTATCAGACAAATGACATTAACCTTTAGGTACGAATGAGGGGTTTGGGGGTTATTTTTCTCCTAAACCTACTCTCTCTCCATCACATTTTAAGTTGAAATCATGGAGATCATCCTGTATGTGGCTAGAGGGTGAATAGGTCAAATCCTAATAGTTATTACCAATTAAAATTATTAAACTAGATTCATTTCTAATTGATATGCCAAGTTGAATATATCAATCAATCATATTGGAAACCACACAAATCATAGTAAAATTATCCCCACGAGCGCAGCTGATCGGTAATAATTCACTATAAATGAAAAGTTATTACATACTCAAGATAGAAGGACTTACAATCCTAACTCAGTTAGCCTTTGATCTTGACGTTTTTCCATAAACTCCTTGTCTGCTATCCACTCCTTGTGGCTCCGAAACATTTAGACTGCTTTTAATCTAACAGTCAACCACGATCTCAACTTGACGTGGTTTTGTTACTCGAATGACCAATAAGTAGGTATGCAATGCACAATTTGTGTGGATTTTTCTATAAAAAAGCTCTCAAATCATGAAATATATTATATCTTTTGAAAAACATGAAGCACTCTTAAAATGGTTGAAGAAAGGTTTCTCGTTAAGGCTTTTGCTCTCCATAGTGAGAATTTTTCCCTCAAAATTCTATAAAATATACCTAGCATGTATTTATAATTTCAGTAGGAAAAAAAGTCCAATGAAAAAAAAAAACAAAAAAACCAAGCCCTCTAGATTTTTCTTTCCCCGTCAATCTGGTGTGTTCCCTCTTCAGCTCACTTTGAGCTGGAGCCTCTACAGTTTCTTCTCAGGAACTCTTATGGTTCATTCAACCAGGGCCTTCAGGTTTTGGCTCTTAGTCATGTTTTCCACAACTCCAAAAACCTTCCATGACTACAAACATGTTAAATAGGTCAATTGGTGCCAAGCCATATCCAAAAGACATATATCTCATTTAATTTATATGGGATCTATTTATTAAAAAATTAGGAACTTGAAAAGACAATTTATCATGAAAAAATTATTCTACTATTATATATATATATAAAGCAGTGGGTTGACATATCCTTATTTAAGCAAAAATGTCACGCCCTCAAAATAAACCCATTATATGTATATCAATGACATGCATTATTTAAAGAAAACAATTTATTAATTCATTCATCAGAGTATTACTAAATAAAAACATTACATGTAACATCAAATTAAATGCCCTATGGGCTTCGAAGAAGATCTCGCTCGAGCGAATAAGCACTACCCTCAAGTCTAAACCAGATGCAGTCGCTCGCTCGAGTGAAGCAAAGCTGGATCGAGCCAGAAGACACAAAATACAACCCTCGCTCGAGCGACAAATCCCTGGCTCGAGCGACCAACTCAAAAACTGGACAGCAACACTTGGTTTACGAACCCAACCAACCTGAAACAAACCTGGCCAACACTTCCTATAACTCCAAATGAGAGAATAAAGGACGACTACAACAATTATTCAATGACAGAATAACCGGAACCTAAGTCCGGATACTATAATCAAATGGGAAAAGACCGGGGTCGCTATAAAAAATGCATACAGTTGTCATGCTGCCATCTTCTTCATCAAAGAGTAGTTGATTCAAGTAGTTTATTTCCTTCAAGTAAAATGAAGAACACAATTAATCTCAACTGGTCTGTTGAATTTTACATTTTATGAAAAAGAATGAAATCATTTGGGTACTTTTGTAGCTCAAAGAAGGATATTCGTCATCCAAAATGATCATGACAATTTTATTCTATAAATTATGATTTGAGATACAAAATTGTGCAGGTGTTGTCATCAAAAAACAGATCTAGTAAACAAAATATGAGAAGAGACCCCACCTCACCTGGGAAGGAAAGGCCGATCAGCAGTAGTCACCACAAGAGCAAGCACCTT